AATCTGGAAATTTGGATAAGTTTGAGGCATGTTCTACCGATGGATTGTTTCTTGGTTACCCCGCACACACTCATGGCTATCGTGTACTTATTTTAGGGACTAATAAAATCGTGGAGACTTGCGAAGTTTCTTTTGATGAGGCTAGTCCAGGTACTAGAGCCGATATTGCAGGTACACTGTCACAGGTTCAGGGGGAGGATGGTCGTATTTTTGAAGACGAGAGCGACGATGACTACGACGACGAGATCGGCTCAACCGGTCAGACCGGGCGCCAGGCCGGTCAGACCACCGGCACACCTCCGGTCAGACCGGCTCATGAGGAGCGGTCAGACCGGCCAGGGTCATCGGCTGAGGGTTCTGTTGATGCTGATCAAGATGGTCCTCCGGAAATTACTACTTCGACCAGTACTAATACAGAACGTGGATCAACTTCAGAAGTCACTGCTCCTTTGCACATTCAACGACGACATCCGCCGGAACAAATTATTGGTAATATAGGTGAGCGGACTACAAGGTCTAAGGTAACGACTCATGATGTTTGTGCAAATTCTGCGTTTGTTGCTTCTTTTGAACCCAAAGATGTGTCACATGCATTAATTGGGCATAGTTCATCCTTTTGTCATGGTTTGAGGGGGAGTTTGTACCTCATGGTTTTATCAAGCAATAATATGATAATGAGAAAAATTGAGAAAAGAAAGCTTTGTTTATGCATATGGTATTTTCTAGTGCATGCTAGCAATACTTTGAATGTTTATTTGTCTCTAGCATAGCTTGTATGTATTCTAGTCTTTTCATGAGATTTAGATTTTGCTTTTAAGGGAGATGATGCATGACACTTAAATTCTACACTTGAATTAAGAAAATATGCAATGTTGAGGCTAGCATATGGTTTGATTTTTAAATGCTCTATATATATGCTTTATTGACTTGTTATTCCTCAAATAAATTTAATTGCTCATTGTGAAAAAGAGAATAAAAAATATGAAAAAAATGAATACCGAATCCTTGGAAACAGTCTTGACGACAAGGACGTATTCGATGTGAGCAAAATAATGGGTGCCGAATCTCTGGAAACAGTCTTGACGACAGGGACGTACCCGGAATAAAAGAGAAAAATATGAGCAAAAAGGCTCAAGAAAAGAAAAAATTGAAAAAAAAATTCTCTTGGTTATTTTGTGCTAAAGGTTATTTGAGAAAGAGTGATAAAAGCAATAGGTATATGTGTTTAGTGTTTATTCTTCAACCTATATGCTTGTTAAGATGTTGCATTATAAATCGTATGAAATCATGAATTTTGATTGTTGATTCACGCTCAATTGTAAAATCTTTGGTTCATGGTTATACTTTAATGCATGCATGTTATGTTATAGATGGGTTTATCTTCTCTTTATTGCAACACATGACTTGATATGCTATATGTATGCTAAGCTCTTGAACATTAATGAACATAATTCCTATGCTTGATGAAATCATTGTCAAAAGGGGGAGAAGTAATGTGAAAATTTTTGGATTTTTTGGAGAAGCAAGGTGAATTTTTGGAGAGTTGTTGAGAAGCAAGGTGAATTTTTGGAGAGTTGTTGAGAAGAGCATGTTTTTGGTTCAATTGGGAATTTCTTTCTTTTAAAAAGGGGGAGAAGTTTTCTTTTGGATTTTTGAGCACGATGTGTACATTTGTACGAAATGTGCTTTTTACCAAACAACAAAACATTTTTTGATGGATCTGCCAATGTGTTCATCAAGGGGGAGATTGTAAAATCAAAGGTGTTTTTGATTATTATTCTGTGATGAACAATTGGGCATTGGAGATTATTGGTTTTGTTATTTGGAATTTATTCATGAAGTGGTTTTGGAGATGATTGGATTTACAGGTGAATCACAGGTTTATCATTTTATGTGACCAGTCAGACCGGTCTCTGGCAGCCAGTCAGACCAGCGTGTAATGCGCGGTCAGACCGGCCAGCCCGCGGTCTGACCGACCGACACTGTGACGGTTTCGGTTTCGGGTTGTTTGTTTGGATATCCGAGTTTATTTCATGTTTATGACTTCTAGATAGATACTATACGTATGTAACACTATTGTTTGCTGCTAATGAGTCAAGTTAGAGATAGCTTGGTCTCGGAATATGGTTTCTTTGTTTGTTCCATGTGTAGGTGACTCGATGTCTCGGGAGAGTATTTGCGGTGATGGACCGGGAGTCGGCTTGGGGATAAGACGACGTCCATTGTGGTCAGAGATCATGCGGGATACTAAGGCTAGAGTTGATGCACGTGGTTGATGGAGATTCCATATGGCATACGATGGAGTTATTGTGTGCGTATGGGATGCGGAGTCGAATTTGGAAGGAGTCCAAATTTGGTACGATTGGTTACATAAAGTTTCTTTCTTGTACTAGTGGGTTTCCTAAGGTGTTTAGGACTCCTAGTATGAGTTTGGTTCGTGGCTTTAGGCTGCCACCTCATGTATAAATAGAGGGGGAGCGTGAGGCTTCCCGGTATCGCTTTAGAGAGCAATTGAGTTGAGTTTTGAGTTAGGGTTTCGAGTTTAGTCAAAATTTTTGTATGGAGTGCTGTTGGTGCACTTTGTAAACACAGAGAGAATCAATAAAGTCGTCATCCACTTTAAGAGTTCTTCGATTTGTGTTTACCGGGTTTCGGCGGTCTAACCGGCAACTCACCGGCGGTCAGACCGGCGGGAGCACAGCGGTCAGACCGGCGGCGGCGACAGCGAGCGGCAGGCGATCTCGGCGGTTAGACCGGTAGATCAACACCGGTCAGACCGGCGGCTACGCTTCGGTCAGACCGGCTAATCTACTTCTGTCAGACCGATCTCATCGAAATTGAGGGTAACTTTTATTTCCGCTAAAAGTTTTCGGTTTTTGGGTATATCAACCATTCACCCTCCCTCTAGTTGGCTTAGTTCTTGTGATTCGATCCTACAGCCCGACTCCATTATTACTCTATCTTTATGACTTGAGGAAAATGTGAACAAAACCAATAATCTCCAATAATCTTTATAACAAAACCAATAATCTCCAATGCCCAATTGTTCATCACAGAATAATAATCAAAAACACCTTTGATTTTACACGGGCAAAATTATGCTTACAAAAAAACCCATGCTTGTTGAACTTCTTAAGGAGGCAACTTTCATCCAACGAAATGGATTTCCTACGTGTCTATGAAAGCATATTAACTTTTGACATTTGATTTTGTGTATACTCTAAAAGTTCCGCAGTCCTAAAATCAAAATTAATCTAATCCATCACATAATCATTATACTAGAAAAAGGATTGTACCTTGAAGCCTATTATATGCTATTATGTCAAAACTATACAACTCTAAATTTCTACATATTTGATGCATCTTTTACACAGTAATATTTTGAATCTTCGGCAATGTGTGAAATAGTAAGAAAACAACATGTTTTTCCTTTAGTCCCTTTTTATAATATTACAGCTTTTTATGTTGTGTTAGGGAACATTAACTTTTTTCCAGATTTAAAATTATTTAATAGACTTTAAATGTAATAAATAATATTTCAGCACACCTACATAACATAGATCTCTTTGATCAAAGCACAACGGACAGCTGAGCAGCTTCAGTGATGTCTCTGCTACTTTAAAAAGCGGAGTTGTCCTCCTTTCATCCGCTCCTAGCTCCCACCTATGCAACATGTTTGTAGCGTACATAACCACCGCATACAATATTATATTATCAATTATTTTCTTAACACATCCTTAATTATATGGACTTGACCCGTTACAACATACACATTACTATTACCACAAAAAATCCAAGAATGAAAAGGCAATGGTGCATGTGTATTACTGACTCTGCATTCGCTACCTGCTACCCTGCTGCTGTCCATAGAAACCATTTCATTATTTCAAGAAATCTTACCCCCTTGAATGCGTGGAAAAATGGTTAGCTCCTATCGCTGCTGCATTTTATAGATAGAGATTTGATTTCTGTGTGTGTCTGTGTTTTTTTTTTTTGGTAAAATGCGATGAACCAAGTAGGGTTAATGTGTTCTTACTCCATTCTGAACCATGTGTACTTTATTGAGTTACAATCTCTTATCTCTTTTCCCCCTTCCTAATCATGTTTCCTTAATTAGGAGCTATACTATCCTTCAGATAAAGATACAAAAATGTTTCCTTAATTATGTAAGTTGTTAATTTACACATAGGGTAATCAGTGTTTGTCTATGACTTCTCGAAGGTCATATCTTTTCTCACCTCCCCAATGTTCAGGAAAGAAATGGATGCCATGAAAACACAATCATCAAAGGATTGTTAGCACTAATCCAGACTTGCATATTGTTTTTAGTCTTGCAAGAGTTGCATGTAGATAGGCACGTGATATGTTTATGTTGATCCTCTAGATAAATGCATGTGTATCATGGAAACAATGGTTAGTCCAAGCTTTGGCCAAGCTTTGTATATGTGTTGCAGCACAACTAGCAACTGAAAGTCTAGGGAATAAGAGGATTAGGTGGTGTTTGTATCCACGGACTTAACTTTAGTCTCTGTATTTAGACACTAATTTAGAGCATTAAATATAGACTACTTACAAAACTAATTATATAAATGAAAGGTAATTTGCGAGACAAATTTTTTAAGCCTAATTAATCCATGATTAGCCTAGCATCACATAGGCTAATCATGGATTAATTAGACTCAATAATTCGTCTCGCGAATTAGTCCAAGATTATGGATGGGTTTTATTAATAGTCTACGTTTAATATTTATAATTAGTGTCCAAACATCCGATGTGACAGGGACTTAAAAGTTTTAGTCCCATTTAAACCGGGTCTTAGTGGCAAGTTAGATAGTTGCATGCAAGATTAGTGGAGCACGTTGTGGCGTGGTTCAGTCAGCTCAGAGGAGCGATTCTTGCGCGTGAGACGCGCCGATCGGATGAATGAGTGGCTCATGCATGGTCGTGCGGGCGACCCAGCCGGGCTGTTAGCTGTGTATGCATGTCTGCAAGGCTACATAAGCCGTGTAATCATCAGTTTGTAATAACAGAGAAAAGGTTTCAGTCATTTGTTAATTGCTACAAAAACCTGTGTGTGTGCACTTCTTTGTGTTTATCTCCATTGAGCCATAGAGAGAAAAGCTGAGTGCGCGTGCGTCGCCATTGTCGTGTCCACTACAATTTGCCACTTGTGCGTGTGTGCCATCGCTTGAGTTCGCTGCTCGCGTAAGTTTGCTGCTCCGCGAGTTCTTTGCATCCTTGGCCAAAGCTAACAAGGATTGCTCAATCTGGTTTTGCCGTCTTCTGAAACAGCGCGGAGCCTAAGTCAGGACTAGTCATACTGACATGCCAAGAGAAGACTGAAGCGAATCATGCATGAAGCGAAGCAATCGCTGATCCTGACATTGTCCCTGCCGGCAGAACATGTTCTCTGATACCTCCTATGTCTATTTCAATCGAGAAAGGAAGGCAGAGAGGTAAAAGAAGTGAATTAAAAAGGTACTCTGTTCCTCACTTTCTCCTTCTGCCATTCCCATAAGAATCACCAAATAACATGGAATTCAGGCAGTGTTGGTTACTCTCTGTCAATGACCATATATATGGTCCATATGTATAAATACTCGGCAATCAACATGAACTGGACAAGGACTGAGTCATTGTTTTTAGCCCTTAACATTTACTTCTACAACTTAAGGTACCATCTTTTGCCATAACGAAGAACTTAAGACTCCATTTTAAAGGAAGATCAAGGGGCAAGACATTGAACCTTTTGTGTGGGGTTATATTTCATCTCATTGGCAGAATATTTTTTTCCTTTGTTTTTACATAATTCAGAAGAAGAGTGCCATGTGCTCAAGGAAATATAAGTCCAATAGTAGTTCAATTGGTTAGCTTTTCAGTAATATTTATTCTGCTTTTTGATATTTGAGAGATACCCATGGATAATGCTTGCTGCCTCCTTCTTGAACATAAATTCTAGTGTATATATATATATATATATATATATATATATATATATATATATATATATATATATATATATATATATATATATAAATGTTAGAGATCGTGCTAAAATCAGGCCCTGTCAGTAACCATTCCATCGGACGTTGAACCTCCTGTGTACATCAAGTGACTGTAGGGTTTTTGTTGCTATAGCTGGTATAGTCTATTGTTTCCATCACAACACTGCTTAGAGATCACACTATGTTTCAGTTCAGAACCCGATATGTCCTTGTGGGTGAAAATGAGGCATTTTACTGTGTTCCATCCTACTATTCAGGCCTTCTTTTATTTCATAAAAATAGTTTGTCCTTCAATTGATACATCATAGCAAAAAACACTTCATAACTAGAAGATACCCCGCGCGTTGCTACGGGATATGAGTGCAAAAAGTAATACCGAACTATGTAATTTCGAAAAGGGTGATAATATGAACAAACACATTCTGAAAATATGGGAAATCTCTTATATGTTTTTGTAATCGAGGAGTACTGATATTATAGAATTGTAGTACAGATAATGCTATAGCTGCAAGATGGAGAACAGAATGGGACCCTAATAAAATATAGCAAGTCTTATGCATATGACATAATGAAGTCTTCATATGGAAGGAAAATATAATAAGTCTTCCCCATAGTGAAATCACCGTAGGTCAGACAGCATGTGTTCACCTGTATTTTGTGTTGGAGAATATATTAGTAGTACAACAGGGATGTGCTTGTAAGATAATGAAGTAAATCTTTAGGAATGTGAAGAATAAGTACCATTTTTATTATGTAGATTGGTCAGGCAGATTGGTATGCAATGCAGTTTGTAGCTCTATGCTGTTTGGAGTGGTTCATAAGATATTGCAGTTAGTGTTAAAGGCAAAAGTATTGTAAGTCATGAGTGGATTTATCTATCACAAAAATCAATATAAAAATAATGAAATGTGTGGTGTTATAAAATAATGTATAACCTTTGGTTCCCTCAAAGGAGTCTTCAGGAAAATCAGCTTTTCCCTCTGTATGTTGTAGTTTTTTGCTGCATGAAATAGTTCCAAAAATATTGTAGTCAGTATTATAGTTGAGTTATGTTATTCTATGTTTTTTCCAAAGTAGTACATGCCCTTCTTTGTAATGTTTGAGAACAGGGAGATCTAGTTTTTTGGTAGTGTAAAAGGAAAAATGTTCCAAGGTTGGTTGTGAGTTGATATTTGTTAATCAGAAAAGGCAATATAAATGGGGTTATAAAATATACCTTCTGGTTTCCTCAATGGAGTCTTTAGTGAAATCAATGGCTCTCTTTCTGGTTGAGCTGCAGTAATGGATAATAATCATATGAATGATTTTATTAAGCATAATTTTTTTTGTATATTTACCTGGTTTTTTCAGTTGGAGTTTTATCAGCCAAAGATATTTCAGGAGGTGTACTTTTGCTTGATGCTCCTGTATTATGAATAGTTGTGCTGAAATTTATTTGGCATCAGCAGTTAGTACTATATATCCAATGTGATGTAGAGGCTGGGTTTTAATGAAAATCCTTTATCTAAAAAAATTATGGTGTTGTACAAATGTAATGAATAGAACATTTGATAGAACAACAAACCTTGGGTTATCTGTATGTGGTGCAGGTGGTGGAAGCTGTAGTACCTCTTTGTTCTTCAAAGGCTTGATTAGTTTTATATTTTAATTTAATTAGTTTGAAATATTTGAAGTAATATGGAACAGGATATCTGAAGTAATATGGAACAGTAGTATTTACTAACCTCTCTATCTGTGAGCATAGGGACCGACATAGTAGGCTCAATTGTGAAACTCTTCTTAAGCACATAGCTGATAGGGAACTTAGAAGATGTATCAGTATTCATCCCTATAGCAAAAATTTTTGTTTTACCAATGGCATTATTGAGTGCTGTTGGATGATCGGCCGGGTCTATCTTCATGTTTTGGGAAGCTTGGGCTGCATCAAGCTCTACCAAATCTTCAGCAACAAAAGAAAATGCTACTGCATCTAAACTCCCTGATTTATCTGTAATCGTGACAAGGAGTTTGTACCTGAAGCATTGTACATTAGTTAGATACATCTAGAGTGGTTAGCGTTACAGTAAACTATTTTAGTTCTTCGAATGAATGTATAAGAGTAGGAGATTGTACATTGGTTTGCGGAATGAAACTTCGCAAGCACATCTTGGTGAATCAGAATTATTGTTGTACCCTTTATCACAACGATGGCATCCTATGTAATACCATTTAATTGATGACAGTATGGCAGTTATTTTTGCAGTAGCACTGTATGTAGCTCCACCCTTATGTAATAAAAAGTATTAAATCTTGGCGAAAGGAATCCATGGCATGGTAATAACAATATAGTTTTTTTTTCTTTTGTATTGAGTTGTACCTGAAAGGCAGAAATAGGCATAGCTGATATCTCACTTAAGGTGTACATTTTTCCTGCTGCTTGGATCGGGGTTAAACGTATAACCTTAGGGAGTTGTTGCTCAAGAGTTGGACGTTCCCATTAGTAGCTTCAAATTGCAAAGAGATAGGTTGGCATTTTTTGACGTGAAATATAATACATATTGAACAGGAATATTCAAGTGCAAATGGTTTGAATGGGTTAAAGAGAATTACCTAGTGCGAAACTCTCTAACTTGAGGTGTGTCCAGGTCAATATATATTTCAGTAGCAGAGCTTGAAGATGCTTCTGTTATAGCTGCAGGTGAAAGTGAAGTTGAAATGTTCTGCATTCTTTGTATGAGAGGGCATTTGTTTGGGTGAAAGAATGAACCTGAAAATTTTCCTGCAGTAAGGCCAACAAAGATGGCTATTACAATTCCATCCTTTGATTTATGGAGTGTTGCATCTTCGTTGAATGATTCTCCATATTGTCCCCAGAGTAGGACATCTTGAGTCTGTTCCCTGCAAAAATGTTGCATATAAACAATTGCTGAGATTACACAAAAGTAATTAATGAGAGCATTGATTTTAACGATCAGGTTTGGAAAAGGTACGTACTCTAAGTTTTGAATTTTAATTCTCGCAAAATCATACGGACCAATATGATTGATTACTCCAATCAAATCTGGAGGAATATTCATTCAAAAAAAATCTGGAGGAATAAGCCAAAAGAATGTGAAGTGTAATAAGTATGATTCAATGTGGAATTAAAGATAGCATTACCTATGAGAGGTTTGGAACTGATATTTTTCCCTAGGACTTCATCAAATGGGCAGAAGTCAAAAAAGAACTTTGGTATGGTTAATCCTCTAGATTCCAGGGGTTGAATTCTTGTGTCATGTTTAAACTGGAGAATGTAGTTCTGGCACTGGTAGATATAGGTCTTTCTTTTTGCATCAATGTGCTAGGCAACTTACATATATAGAATTCCCTGAACATTGGACGTGGCACAATCAAGGCAAATATTGGGATGATCGTCGTGGTTCTCAACGTAGAATTGGCTGCATTGCTTATGTAAACCCTTCACAAGGAGAAGCTTACTATCTGCGAATGCTACTGCACATCGTTAAGGGCCCTAGATCCTTTGCTGAAATCAGAACTATATCAGGTCATGAATATCCTACATTTCGGGCAGCATGTGAAGCATTAGGTCTCCTTGGTGATGACCAAGAGTGGTCAAATGCTTTGAAAGATGCAGCTCAATGGGCCTTACCATCCCAACTGTGACAACTTTTTGTTACAATGTTACTCTTTTGTGAGGTAACAAATCCTACAAGACTTTTCAGTGAACATGAATCATATATGAGCGAAGATATATCATATCGAATGCCCCGCAACACTTCTTAGGCCAACAGCTGCACCAATCCTTATGTTAGATCTGTTCTTCTCATTAAGTTAGATAAACTGCTAAGAGATGCTGGCTATGACTTATCCCATTTTAGTTTGCCACTACCAGATGATATTGGAAGTGTTTCAGCACAGAATAGACTTATACTAGATGAGCTCAGCTACGATGTTTATAACATGCCATCCACTATAGATGAAGCTATTTCAGGTTTGAATAACAGCCAGAAGGAAGTTTTTAATGCTATTTATAATTCTGCCATCAATAATGAAGGACGGATTTTCTTTGTTTATGGATATGGAGGAACCAAAAAAACATTCTTATGGACAACTTTGCTTAATTCTATAAGAAGCCAGGGAAAGATAGCATTAGCTGTTGCATCATCGGGAATTGCATCCTTGCTGCTTCCAGGTGGGAGAACACCTCATTCCCGTTTCAAAATCCTATTGGAAATCTCTAAAAATTCAATGTGCAGTATAAAGAAAAATACAAATTTAGCTGAACTGATCCAAAAAAACATCTCTCATTGTGTGGGATGAAGCTCCTGTTAATCATAAATATTGATTTGAGTCATTGGATCGAACTCTATGAGATATATTGTCTGAAACAAACCCAAATTCATTAGACAAACAATTTGGTGGTATAACAGTAGTTCTTGGTGGAGATTTCAAGCAGACACTACCAGTCATCCAAAATGCTACAAAGCAACAGATTTTGAGATCATGCATTGTTAACTCTTATTTGTGGAATCAACACATACTTCTTGAGTTAACTGAAAATATGAGGCTTACCTCTGCATCTATTTCTGCATAAGATAGAGAAGAGTTAAGAAAATTTTCTAATTGGCTTTTGAAAATAGGAAATGGCACAGAACCTTTTGTTGATGTCCCAGAGCAACTAACGAACATGTTCATAGAGATGCCTCAGTCCCTTCTTCTATCACCAGACTGTAGGAATCTAGATGGATTGATTTCTTTTGTCTACAACTTACGATGTCAACCATCAAATCTTACATCATATATGTGTGAGCGTGCAATTTTAGCACCTACAAATGAGGTGGTTTCAGAAATAAACAATAGAATGATTGCTCAGTTAGAAGCGAGTGAGATGTCATATTATAGCTCAGATTCAATTGATGACAGTTCTACTAACTGTACTGCTATAGAGGCACTA